TGCACAGTCTTCTTGCACTGAGTTAACCCAGGAGTAAATACAGTAAACAGTGGTTTGTAATTAAATGTGGTTGATATTACACTATATCTACAAATATACACTAGAAATAAAACACATATATGTGGTTAAATGGAAGAGAGAGAAAAAACTCCAGTAAAAACTCCTTTTATACTCAGCCTCTTAAAGGCACAGACACAGACCTTGCTGCATCATCTTATCATTGCATCGGCCACATTCCATTACGGCAGTGGTTCTCAACCAGTGGGTCGGGACACCATTTGGTGTCAAACGACCATTTCACGGGGATCGCCAAACAACGCAGTCCGACATTTTTTCCCCCTTTTTCTTAGCTGTGCTACTCCCTTTTATTCTATTGGCTTTTGAAAGCCAATAGAATAGACTCTCTTGAATAGAGTCTAATTCTATTGGCTTTCAAAAGCCAATAGGAATTGTCCAGGCTGTCTCTGCCCTGCTGAGCCCACCAAAAGTCCCATTCTGCAAACAGTGCTGCACCAGTTGAGTAGTCCTCAACTTACGACTGGTTGAGTAGTCCTCGACTTACGACCAGTTGGGGTTGCGGCATTAAAAAGGTTGGGAACCACTGCATTACGGGTATGTCAAACCCGCAATGTCATGTGACATCGTGCAACATATTGGGACTTTTCCCCCTTTGCCGGCAATTGGGTGGGTGCAGTTTCAGCGTGACGGATCCGGCCTATGGTCCAGCAGTTTGACATGCCTGAAATAAGCTGTTAAATTATCATCCTGACATTCTGAGATCATCATGGTCTGAACAGGAAACCAAGGAATCGAAATTCCTTCTAGTTTCAAAAGGAAGAGCCTGAATTTCCCTTAGGCTATAAACTTTGAGCTATGAAGGAATAGTTAGACTGTAATTTTACTATTGCAGCTTTGTAATATATGGACAAGATTGCACGGTTATCTCTAGTGTTTGGGGGAAATTATTAGCTAAATCCAAAGAACACTTGCTTAATTGTAGCTTCTTACTGATGGATCTGGACCACAGAGTTATTATATTCCTTGCAGGAAACTGAGTTTCTATCTACTTACATTGGATAATAGGCAGTATTAAACATGGGAGTCATGCCCTACTTATGTTACTCCACTCCCATGCTCTGTTCACCCAGCATCAATGATCAAAGCACATAGAAATCCCTGAAAATCACCTTTGGTACATAATCCTGCGGAATCACTTTCTAGGTATAGGCCAATAGGAAGGACTGGAACTACTCTGCCCCCAAAGCCCAACTCCAACCGATGGCCCAGAGACATGCATGGTCAATGGATTGAAAGTAATTGATGGAGGCAGGAGAATTATCTCTCCCCACATCAATATTCTGGCAATTTTTTTTCTCAAGAGAACCAAAACATGTTGAGTAGCATAAGTAAATAAAATACCAGTTGAAATGCCCAGTTTCATCCAAATGCATCTGTACTTATGAGACATTGCTTTCTTTATTGCTTGAAATATTTGAGAATGATCTATATTCATAAAAAAAGGTGATTTAACTCTACCAGTAAAAAGAGACCCTTATAAGTGATGTTGGGCCATCTCCATATTTTTTCAAATCAGCAAAGACTCCACAAAGCACAAGGCATAAGATTGTCTTGGTGTATTCCATCCAGACCTATCTAGTACCTCAACCACAGTATTTTAGTAGCACTTCATCCCTGCAGAACATGGTCTGCAGAAGGTAATCTCCAATTATTGCAGAGATTGGTTTCCATCTGACATAATGGCATCCACATCCATCCATAGCAATAAAGGTTATGTTGTTTCTTATTCAGATAGAAATAGAATATCGAACCCAGAATCTGGCATCCAACAGTAGATAGGAGAGATCCACAGCAATGATAGCTGACATCCTGGGCCATTTCAATCAGAATATATCTGGGACCTTGGATGTCTTCTAGTCCAACCCCCTGCTCAAGCAGGAGATCCTGTATCCTTTCAGATTGGTGGCTGTCCAGTCTTTTCTGAAAAACCTCCAATGATGAAGCACTCACAACTTCTGCAGGCAAGCTGTTCCACTGGTTGACTGTCCTCATGTCAGGAAGTTTCTCCATAATTCCAGGTTGCTTCTCTCCTTGATCAGTTTCCAACCATTGTTTCTCATCCTTCCCTCTGGTGCTCTAGTGAACAACCTGACCCCTTGTGCCTTGTGGCAGCCCCTCAGATACTGTAACACTGCTATCATGTCTCCCCTATTTCTTCTTTTCTTTAGACTATCCAGACCCAAGTTCCGTAGCTGTTCTTCGTATGTTTTAGCCCCCAGGTCTTTGATCATCTTATTTGCTCTTCTCTGAATTTTTTCCAAACTCTCAACACCTTTTGGTGATATGGTGACCAAAATTGGCTGCAGTATTCCAGGTGTGGTCTTACTAAGGTTTATAAACACTGTTTATACAACCCGGGATTATATTAGTTTTTATGGTTGCTGCTGCACACAGCTGGCTCATAGTCAAGTGATCGTCCACTAGGAGTCCAAGGTCCCTCTAGCAGATACTGTTTTTAAGCCAGGTCTCACCCAATCTGTCTTTGTGCCTTTAGTTTTTCCTGCCTAAGTGTAAGACTTTGCTTTTCTCCATGCTGAAACTCATTTTGTTGGATAGGGCCCGTTGATCGAGTTTGTCACAATCTTTTTGGATCCTGAGTTTGTCTTCTGGGGTGTACTCCTGACAGCTTGGTGTCATCTGCAAATTTGACGAGTTTCCCTTCAATTCCTTCATCTAAGTCATTAATGAAGATATTTAAAAAGAGCCGAGGTGGCGCAGCAGTTAGAGTGCAGTACTGCAGGCCACTTTAGCTGACTGTGTTCAGCAGGTCAGCGGTTCAAATCTCACCGGCTCAAGGTTGACTCAGCCTTCCATCCTTCCGAGGTAGGTAAAATGAGGACCCAGATTGTTGGGGGCAATGTAAATATATATATATATATATATATATATATATATATATATATATATATCATATATATATACATTGCTTACTGGTGTACACTGCTTAGAGAGTGCTTGCACTTAAAGCGGTATATAAGTCTCATAAATAAATAAATAAATAAATATTGAAGAGTACTGGGCCTAAGACGGAACCTTGTGGTACCCCACTCTTACTTCTTGCCATATGAATGTAGTGCCATTGAGGACTACTCATTGAGTACAGTTTGTCAGCCAGATACAGATCCATCTGGTGGTGATGTTGCCTATTCCAGCTTTTTCTACTTTACCAAGGAGTAGGTTGTGGTTTACTTTGTCAAATGCCTTACTGAAATCTAGGTATACTATGTCCACTGCTTTTCGCAGTCTACTAGTTTAGTCTACTAGTTTAGTCAACTAGTTTAGTCACTTTATTGAAGAATGAGGTCAGATTGATCTAGCATGATCTGTTTTTAACAAACCCGTGCTGGCTCCTAGTTATGACTTTGTTTGCTTCTAGTTGTTTGCAGATCTGTTTTTTTAATTATCTTTTCTAGGATTTTCATAAAGGATTTGCAATTAAAATAAGCATAATCATAGTGCTAATAAGGAGGGCTGTTGTAATAGATTCTGCAACAACTATTATTGAATGAAAGATGTCCTTAATCCAAGCATCTAATTATAGGTAGAGTTATAAGTGTTTCGAAATAGCTATCTGAAAACAATGTCACAACTCCAACTGCCTAACCCATTAGCACATCTGAATATGATCCATGCTAAAGGTTTACCAGGGACAATTTATCTAACTCTGAAGTAACATTAAACCCAATAGAGACCACATGGCTTGATTAGGACCTAGCCATCCTTTGTGATATTTTGTTTTGCCTTATGGGCCAATATTTTTATTGTTCTTTTTATTCCTTACCACTAACTATATTACTGATTGCTATGATGTATCTCATTCTGAGCACAGTCTGAAACTTTTGAAGTTTTTTTGAAGCTCACATTTTCCTGAGCTTCAGGTGCTTTCTTTTTCTCCTTGGGAACACAGCAGAATGACTCATGTTTCACTTCATTCCTTCAGTCATTCTATAATTATCCCTTCATAGCACCACCTTTATGGTAATTGGGTGTCAGGCCCATGCCTCAAAGACAGGGATCCCCCAGTTCTATCCTTGAATCATTTTCTTGCTTGTTGTTAATTTACTTACTTACTCAGTGCACAAATTGTCTCATTCAGAGCCGTGGTGGTACAGTAAATTTAGTACTACCGTATTTCAGGCTAACTCTGCCCACTGCCAGCAGTTCAATCCTGACTGGCTCAAGATTGACTCAGGCTTCCATTATTTCGAGGTCGGTAAAAGGAGGACCAAATTTTGGAGGCCAATACACTGACTCTGTGAACTGCTTAGAGAGGGCTGTAAAGCACTGTGAAGCTGATATAGGTCTAAGTTTGCTATTGCTATTGCTAATTCACCAGAGTGACTCTGTGTGATTTGCAATACATGAATTTTTTTCCTAACTGCTCTTGTCCCTACCCCAGTCCTTGCCATTCATTAAAAATATTCCCCTCCCCACAGTGTCTCCTTAAGTCTTAGTCTCCAGGTGTGCCTTGTGGAGAGGGGTGGGGCCTCTCTTCCCCAGTAGTTGAGCCCACCTGTGTTGTTTCCTGTTTTCTCCACTCTCTGTGCTCTAGGATCAGGAGGGGGTGGCCCTTGCTCATCACCTGAGCTGTCTCTCCTGTTCATCCTGTCCCAATCCTGAAAGGCCCTGGCCTGCCTCAGCCTGTTCTTCCCCACATTCCTCTCCAGTTCCAGCTCATTTTCCTCAGCAGATTCAAGCTCCGATGGGGGCATGCAATTACCTGTATCCAGATTAGAGATAATGGGAGCTAGTATACATCCTTGACTGACTCCTCTATTGGTATTAATTTTCCCCGTTAGGGTGCTATGCATTCCTGTGTGTACCTTAGGCATGAATCTGTATATAATGTCTTGAATAAAGAGAGGAGTTTAGGATCCATGCTCAGGTCCATAGGTTTTTTTCCACAGAAGTTCTATGTTTATTGAATCAAATATTGCACTGAGGTTTATAAAAGTTATAAATATCTGTCTACCCTTATTGGTATCTTTTTCTATTAAATAACATAAAATGAAAGAGTTAAAACCACTTTGCTTTTTGGTAGAAAGCCCTTTTCTATTACCCAGTCCTCATTCTTGTATCAAAAACATTTGGCCTATAATTTTGCTATGATATCAATGAGACTAACCAGTCTATAATTCGAAGGATCATCCTGATCAAGCTTTTGCTAAATGGGGACCACAATAGAGACCTGCCAACCAGATGGAATTGGCAGGAATTATTTATTTGGGTAAATAAACTTGCAGATAAGGGAGCTCACCAATCAAAGTGACATTACAATAGGGGTAGAAAACGTTTCTTAGGAGACCTTCAGAATGTGAATGACTCCTCTAGTCTCTCATTCAGTTCCTGGAGTCTAGGGTGGAGTAGTACAGGAGTACAGGCCATCTGTAGAACATTTTTTTGGATCCTCCAGTCTAATACAACTTGGGGCAGTAAATAATTGGAGGTAATAGTCCTCTCACATGGAGGCAGGTATAGAGATATCCAAGGGGAATCTACATTCCTTCAATGTTCAACCGAATGCAAAATCAAAAGGTGAGACTTCATGAACTTGCTAGTTTAGCTGTACTCTTGTCTAAAAGGAGCTTTTTTTGTAATATTTTATTGATTTTCTAATTTTACATTTAAGTAGTTAAAAAGCAACGTGGTGGCTGGGTTAATCGAAAATTCAATAACATACAAAATCTCAAGCTACCATATCAAATATTTCCTCTCTTTTTCCCTTAATATCTACAGTCTCAAATTTGAACTAATACAGTTCTTATTATATCAATTAAGTAAAAACATTGTTACATTTATCAATAAATTTTTAGCATATAAATATCCTAGTTGCTTTAACATTCAATCTTTATAGACAATCAATGTCCTGTTGTTAGTTTTTCCCAATTTTTAGTTTCCCATCACTATTTAAATTTAACATTTGATATTTATAATTTCCAAGTTTTAGGTAACCAAAGTTTTGTTTATCACAATTCCTAACAAAGTCTAATATTCAAGATACACATCTTATCTATTTGAGTATATTCTTTTTCTTACCATCTTACCTCATCTAGTTATTAATACAGTATAATATCCTTATTTCCAACTAATTTCTAAATGTTTTAAATTTAGTGACCACAATTTCTCCTATTTCAATTTCAAGTATTTCCTCTCTTTTTCCCTTAATATTTCTTTTATTTGTTTTCCCCAATTTTTTAATTTCCCATCACTATTCAAATTTAACTTTTAAGATTTATACTTCCAAGTTTTAAGTGACCCAAATTTTATTTATCTCAATTCACAACAAAATCTAGTATTCAAAATACATATCTTGTCTATTTGATTATACTCTATTTTAATTAGTAATATAAAATCCTCTCTAATAAATCAACACCCCAATTTTCTTCAGCCTTATTCTGGCTTTCTTCCTTTGCCAGCTCGCCTTCCATGTCACTGCTTTTAAGTCATCAAATAGATCTCCCTCTGTTGTTATATATATTATTTGAAATAAAAGAGACCATCCAGTCACCATTTTTTGAGAAGGGCTAACGAATTGTCTCTCTATTATTCCAGATCCCCATAGTTGTCCTGATATGTTTGTCTTCCCTTCATTCTGTTCTTCTTCTTGCTCCTCAAGTTTCTTCTGGTTTATATAGAAAGTCATTTTCATTTTCAGTGTTGTCAGTCCCTTTTCTGGATTTTCCAATGATTGTATTTGTTGGTCAGTTGAATCCTCTATCATAGTATTTCATTGTTCCACTTTTTCTGTTTTCTTCTGCATAGTTGATTTTTTAATTGTAGTCAAAATTTAGGTTCGTATATCTAAGCTGACATCTTGTTTTTTCTGTAGCATCTTATTTCATCACAAGCTGAAAGAATGGTTTCATGTATTGCATTCAACATAAAAAGAATCTGTTCCTCGTCTTCATCCACATTTTCTTAATGGTGTGTTAAATGGAGGGCTTTAAAGTCAGAGAATGAAAATAATTTTATAACTGAGTATAGAACATAGCTGAGCTTCTCACAGCTGATATTTGTCAAGGTTGAAAAAGTCTTATCTGTAGTCTGGGCTTCAAGCCAAGTTTCCTTTAGACAATAACAACTTGTAATATCAAACTTGGCCACAATATGTCACCAATGCCATTTAAAGATTTTTAAGTCCAAATTTTTTATAATCCTTTTTCCAATTTTATTTCTTTTTTGTAAATAAAAACCAAAGTCTTCAGTAAAGATAATAAATTTTTGGTCCCCAAATTTTAGAAGCATATAAATCCAGTTAGATTAAGGTTATTTTTTCAGTGTTTTAACTCCCCTGGATAGTCAGTCACTGCTATTCTTAGAGGATGGGGTATTTAAGGAATTCATCTCTCTTAGAATGACATATGTATTCAGAATCTTTTCTATTTCTTTAACCATATTCAAACTAATGTTTCTTTTTAAAATATTCTCTCTGGTAGATCCCATCATCTATTTTCTTAATGTTCACTTTGATCTTTTCCCTTTGACCAGTATCTTTCTTGATCAATGTATTTTGCTGAATCAAAAAGTTTTTCCATATATTCATGACTGTTGCTGTAGGTATAAGAAATAAATCGAATAAAGTGTCTTTATGTGAGGCTTTTGCCTTTCTGTGTTTTTTGAAAATGTTTCTCTCTTTCTCCTTCTTTGCTTCTCTTATCACTTCCTTTCTCTTTGATGTTTTCACAATCTCTACATTCCATTTTATCCAATCTGTTTTTTTGGCCTCAGATTTATCTTGTAGTCTTAAGGGATGAGTTGTTTTTTCTATTTCTTGTAAAAAAAAATCTCCACTAGGATTAAATCATGTTTTCTTGCTTTATTAAGTTCTGTCTGGGTCTCTAGTTTCAATTTTATGTCCACTTTTTGTTTTATCTGCTCCTTCTCTGTTGTTGTTTCTTGGAAGTTTTTTTGTTGTAAAGTTAACTTAGAGATAGATTGATTTGTATTTTCAAAGTTATTTTGGATTTCTTTGTGATTTGAACTCAGTGTTATTTGAATTAATTGCAGTATACTATATATCTCCTCATGAGAGGTATTTATGTTTCCTTGGTGTGTTCTGTCTATGTCTCATATCCATGATAGCCAAAAGTTTGAGTTTTCGTTCTTATCTACAAATAGCTTTAGAGTCCTGGTTAAATAGGTATTTGTAATTCAAAGAGTTCAAAACAGATTTTTTTTTCTAAAGTTTATACTTCTCTCTTTGTCTGCTTTCTTTTTTATCATAGCTGTTCTTTATTATTAAAGCTTTGAAAATCACAAGCAGAGATTAGCTTTTCCCAGGTTTTGGCAAGTTCTCTATAGAAATCAGCTGTCATAATCTTCAACCACCACTATGTGTCAGCATCTATTTAGTTTTCAATATGAGCAATGATCTTTAAAATGAGAGTCTTAACCATTCAACCATCTTAAACTTGTCCAAAGTTAAATTTTAGCTTTCAAGTTTATAAATTTATTTCACTACCATATATTTTGATCCTCCATAGAAATTTTAATTTGCCACTTCTGTTAGTATAAGGATAGGGCAGAAGTCCTCCTCCTTCCTTTTCAGAGGCATTTTGCTTCTTGAGGATCTTTTCCAGGAAATTTAGAATAGAGAAGAGAAAATCAGATTCTCACCCAGTTTCAAGCACGCTGTTTATTGTAGTGTTGGTTAGTTCTTTTGGACGCCGGTTGCAAGTAGCTTGGGCTGATTGATGAAATAAAGCCTTTCTCCTGTCGGGTTAGAAGGCTTTCCCCAAGACAAATGGAATGACCGCCATGATTCCAGAGTCGCTGGGGCACCCTTCTTTCTTCATTACCTCTCCAGGGCGGCTTGGATGCATGAAGGACTTTAGGCAGGATGAAAGTTGGCAACGGGCGTGGGGCAGGCCGCAAGCCTGCGACCAGTCGCTACCGCACAGGACCGGAAGTCTGGGAACCTGATATATTTAAGTATACATACTGATTGGTGATTTTGCTTTTCCTTGAAGACTCTACTTGCCAAAGCAGCATCCCTGGTCAATGCAATTCTATACCATATTGTCTTCCCTTTGTTGAAATGTTTCCTCTAATTTCCTTGTGAGTCTTCCCTGGCACTCCAATGCATTGGTGTTAAGGTTGTTCATCTTAGACTCAATGTTAGAAGAGGTCTGAAGATCTTGAATATTTGATTGGCTCTGCTGAGCTAGAGGTGTTGTTAGACTGTTCGTGGCAGTGAATTGATCCAAAGTTTTGTGAATTTTTTTTTGGAGTGGGGTTTAGTTACCTAGCAGAGTCTTTGGTAAAAACATGGCATCAGGAGAAATGCAGCTGTTGTTTTTTAGTGGTGCAAGATCAATCTTTCTTCATCTTTTAAAATTGCCAGATTGTCTTCCTTCTGGTTGCTCTTCTGTTGAAAATCCTCACTTAAGTCAAAGTGTATCAGAGATTACTGTAACCGCTGTTACAATTGCGGTTGTTTTCTTTTATCTGATGCTTTAGCTTTTCTTCCTGATGGCTGCACTCCACTGATTGCACATTAATAGCAGCCCATCTTTTGGTGCTCTGTCAAATCAGTGTTGGTATTTTGTTAACAAGGCATCAGCCCATTAATTCACATAACTCTGATTATGTTTCACTTACTGTAAATAGGGGAATTTTTAAATGAATGGCAAGGTCTGGGGTAGGGGCAAAAGCAGTTAGGGAAAGAAATCCACATATTGCATATCACCTAGAGTCACCTTGGTGAATAGCAATAGCAATAAAACTAAGACTAATATATTACTTCACAGTGTTTTACAGCCCTGTCTAAGCAGTTCACCGAGTCAGCATATTGACCCCAACAATCTAGGTTTTCATTTGATCAACCTCAAAATAATGGAAGGCTGAGTCAACCTTGAGCCACTCATGATTGAACTGCTGGCAGTGGGCATAGTCAGCCTACAATACAGTAGTCCTCAATACACTGCAACCCCATGGCTCTGAATGAGATAATTTATACATTGAGTAAATAAGTAAATTAAAACAAGCAAGGAGGTGATTCAAGGAGAGAACTGGAGGATCCCTATCCTTGAGGCATGGCCTGGCACCCAATTAGCATAAAGGTGGTTCTATGAAAGAATAATTATGGAATGACTCTAGAAATCAAGTGAAACACGAGTCATTCTGAGTTCTGCTGTGTTCCCACGGAGAAAAAGTTAACACCTGGAGCACAGGAACAAGGGCAGATGTGAGCTTCAAAAAAACTTCCAAAGATTCAGTCTGTGCTCAGAATGAGATACATCATGGCAATCAGTAATATAGTTGTAAGGAATAAAAAGGATAACAAAAATATTGGACCATAAAGCAAAAAAAAAATATCACAAAGGATGGCTAGGGCCTACTCAAGCCATGTGGTCTCTATTGAGTCTAATATTACTACAGTTAGGTAAATTGTTGCTGCTAAAACTTTAGCATGTATCATATTCAGATGTGCTAATGGGTTAGGCAGCTGACTCGTGACATAGTTTTTAGGTAAGTATTTCTAAACACTTATAGCTCTTGATCTATAATTAAATGCTTGGATTAAGGGCACCTTT